AGAGTCACTGTTTTTCATTAGAACACTGCAAGTTGCAGACATGTTAAGTCCGTCAGACCAAATTTAATACTGAAGAGCAGATCTGTCAGAGTTGTTTAGACACCACTAAGTTAAAAGAGATGAAAATAGATATTTATATGATCAAATTTTGAAATATGAAAAATGACATCAACTTACAGGCTATAACTAATGTGTGATCTATAACAATGGGAAATTACACACTGTGCTCCAACAGTTTAGCCACAGGACATTAAATGCATTATTTTTAGATTTTGCAGAATGTAGAGCTAATTGGCTATTTTCATCACAATAAGCAGCCTCTGTGTTGTTCACAGATTAGGAAATGCTACTGGGATAGACAACATCTAACACTTTAAAAGATTTTAGTAACAATTTAGGCATGCATGCATGGATTAATTGCAAATTACAAGCTCTTGCAATCCTCTTGACTTTCCAGGAAAAATGTCTTAATTCTTTGCATCATTTTTTAAATAAACATGCATGTAGGAGCTACTTTGCCCAAATATCAGACACATTTGGGCCTTTTGGCAAAACTCTGTCACCACACTGCCAAGTGTTGTGTGGGCCTCATCTTGCCCAGAAGTCATGTAGCATGCTTAACATGGGTTGTGGCAAGTATTGTGTGAATGCTGTGGGTGTATGTGTGGCCCAAATGTCACAATGTAACAAATATCTGTCTCATAAGGTGTGCATGAGAATCCAGAGATATAAAGACATTGATTCTTCAAAGTGATGCTGCTAGCAACAAGTGGAATTTAAAAAAAACATATTAAGGTTTCGTCAGAAATTTTGAAAATCTACATAACCAAAACTATCCTTATATAAACTGCTTGTAGTTTTAGTGTCATTAAAAAACAACAACTACTACTTAACATTACTGTCCAAGAGAGAAATAATCGGTGCATTGTGTTGTTTACTTAAATTACATCCGAGACCTTTGTGCCTAGCTGATTCTTCTTCTTCTTTTAGCTGCTCCCTTTAGGGGTCGCCATAGCAGATCATCTGTCTTCATCACACCTGATCTCTAGCATCCTCTTCTGTCCCACCAGCCTTCTGCATTACCTCCTTCACTACACCCATTAATCCTCTCTGTAGTCTCTTTTTCTCCTGCCTGCGTGCAAGCTCCATATTCAGCATCCTTTGTCCAATATATCCAGTATTTCTCCTCTGCACATGTCCAAACCATCTAGCTATTACCTTTCTAACATTGTCTTCAAACCACTCAACCCTAGTTCTCCATCTGAAATATATACATTTCTATTCTAGTTGATCCTGGTCACTCCCAATGAAAATCTTAACATCTTCAACTTGTCTCTTTTTTTCATGCTGCCATCTCCAAGTATACATTATAGAAGGTCTCTCCTGTAAAGCTTCCCTTTCACTCTTGCTCCTTTTCTTCTGTCATAAATCATTCCTGACACTCCACCTCTCTTGTGCACTGTCCGTTGCTTTGGAATGGTGAATCCAGGTATTTAAACTCATCTACTGTCACCGTCTCTACCATGTTCACTTTCCCACCCTTTCACTTGTCTCCCTCTCACAAACAAATGTGTTCTGTCTTGCTTCAACTGACTTTTGTTCCTCTTCTCTCCAGTGCATACCTCCACTTCTCCAGCCTCTCTTTCATCTCCTCACTACAGATCACTGTTGTTCATTCATACAGTATGTCTAAATGAAAGATTTTGATGATGCCTTATGTGTCAGAATTATGAGAACAAATGAGTTACATTTTCTTGAAACACTGTGTCTCTTTGGCTTTCAACCCCCAAGGCATTTTACACCAAAAAACTAGTCCACCCCAAGGATCACTTCCCCTGGCACAGAATAATATACTGTTGGGCACTACAAGAGGAGTGCTGTGAATTATACATCGGGGAAACCAAACAACCTGGTTAAGCAGATTGCTCAGTGCAGAAGAGCTACCTCATCAGGCCAAGACTCCACAATGGCCACTCTTTCAGTGATGAGACTATAGACATCCTGGTTAGGGAGGAACGCTGGTTTGAGTCAGGAGTCAAGGAGGCCATTTATGTGAAAATGGAACAACTGCTCCATTTTCACATAAATGCTCTTTCTCATATCTTCATGGTATGGCTCGTGAATTTTGTCTCTCTGTAGCTGCTACAGCTCTGCTTCTTGTTCTTGAAAACGAGTACTAGAAAACTTCTTCCTCAGGCCTCATTCTGAAATTGATAAGCAAACTGGTGTAAAACTCAACAGCCCTCTCCCATAGAAATCTCCAAACCTCCTCATGTATGGCATCTGGATCAACTGCCTATCCACCCCTCATTCTTTTCACTTCCTTCTTGCTAATCCTCTGCACGTCATTATGTCTGTGACATCATGATTCACATCTGTTCTCCACGCTCTAATTTTCTACACTCATGAGCACCTCCTGCTCCTTCAATCTTCTTAACACACTCTCCTCACCTGTTAGCACACTTCCATTCCTGCCCTTGATAACCCTAACCTGCTGCACATCCTTTCTAGCTCAGTCTCTCTGCCTAGCCCACTGATACAAGTCCTTTTCTACTTCCTTATTGTCCATCCTCACATGCAACTCACTCAGCCTTTGCAGTTGCCAGCTGTTTTTGCTTCCCTCCTCCTGGACTACTGCTGTCTACTGTCCCTTACTATCCCATTTAGCAGGTCATATGTTAAAAGCAGGCACTAACTGTGAACATTGCTTGATAATGGTGTCTGCTCCAAAAATAATGATTAATGAGGTGTTATACTTTGAGATGATTACTCTAAAGATATTAAGGTACTAAAGTCAGAGTTTATCATTTATTATCTCTGAACAAAACCCTAGTTAGGCTGTCCTTTGATATAACAGCGTATTTTGTTAGCTAACAAGATGAGAAGTGTTAAGAAAGCCTTTTTTAGTAGAATTAATGAGATGTAGTTTTTTACTGTAGCCAGTATTGCTATTGCTAAGCTAATATTCAGCAAAATCTGTACGCTTAGCAAATGGCACCTTTAAAGAGTTAAAGACACCAAAATTCGCTGACTCACAGATGCAAAAGTCAGCTGCAATTATTATATTAAATGCCAAGGTTACTGAAGAAAACAAGAAACAGCATGCCGCCTTTGGCCTGTTGAGCAGGAGAAAAAATGAAGTGGCAGCTAGTCTGTTTTGCTAACATGACACTCCCAGCTAATTGCTGTCATAGAACCAGAAGCTAATCATTTAGAAACTCCTTCTGACCACAAAGCGGGACTGCACCGTCTTAAACACACAGGGTCCAAACAGCAGACAGGGTTAAGACTGATTTGTCAAGGGGCTTAGATGGCACTCAAAGACGTGCACACAAACGCACACAAATTCATACAAACTCACAAAGACAGATAACAGAAGCTGTAATTACAGAGTTGCTGCTCAGCCGTGAGTGAACAACACAGCTCCGAAGAGAGGACGCCTTATTCCAAGCACACACTCCCACACAGATCTGAGGATAGGATGCTTTACCACTACTACGGCTATAATTACTACCATAAAAGAGAGTGCTAGATAAGTGCAGATATGACTATGGGTGGACACTCTCAAATGCTTTAACATATAATTACAGGAATACATAGATTAGAGCGCAGGCAATTTGTAAGATGAAGGTCAACAAGAATTACGAAGTTGTAGTACTTCAAGGTTATCACAATTTGCGTGCACGAGTGTGAGCTTATACATATGTGAAACCTCTCAAGAAATCGGAGTGCTCAATGTCGAAATATGGTGATTTGCCTCTTACCCTCTTTGTCCTTTTCTTGATAGGTTCAGCCTGATATGTGCACTGTATGTGTTTGTGTGTCTCTGTGGGTGAGTCACTCGAGTCAGCGAACTATATGTGTGTGTGTGTGTGTGGCAACTGGCTAGAGAAGTGGACCTTAAGTGGTAGGATAGAGGAAAGTTACTCCAGTTTCTTGGTTGGTTGGTCACTGTATGTTCAATTCAGGTGAGGATTAAGAACAGGAGAAATGTGCAGTGGAATTTTGTCTAAGTGATTTACTGCCTTTAGTACATCATTAATTACAGCAGCCCACCGGTGACTTGAAACTAAACTTTAAGGTTAGTTATAAGGCGTTAGCGTAGCAGACTTTACTCCTGTGGAAGTAAAAAGTCTTAATAGTTGGATAGTTACAGATATCTCTGCACCAGTAATTGTTTGTTTGTTTCTTTATTTGATCCATGGCAGTACAAAACAGTACATGTACATGTTTTGGGTAGTACAAAACACAGTGGTAGCTTCCTGACAGCGTTTGAGTGATACCAGAGCAGCTTCACTACAGCGTGGCGTTCATTCTACAAGTGTCTGCTGAAGGACTAGAACACCACCTTCATGAAATAATTCCTCATTTGATGTTTTAATAAATGCAGTCTAACATGTCCCGCCAACATCTTCAATAATAACTAATGACCACGAAGCCCAGATCCTAAATTTATACTCAAACAGCTCAGTGATGCTCTTGGCCCCATGAATGGGTGTATGCATCATCGGTTAAATCTAGTTACGTCTGCCTATAAGGCCACAGTTTTACTCGCTCTGTGCAAGCTTTTATTTACATAAAGGACAGAAAGGCAGAAGGATATTTTGGAGTGTTTTTGAGGGCACGTCTGAATACTGACAATGCAATGGAGAATACACAGACATCTGCATAGAACAATAACCGCTGGCGTCGTCTGCCATTGTTAATTTCATTATCCATACCTGCTTTACTTCCTGTAACATGTCAAGCTCTGGAAATGTCTGTCATGCTAGTTTTAAGAACATGTGTCTGGCTCTTCAGATTGCTGTAAAGCCAGTAGCTGTCTGTGTTGCAGTGTTTGCTGAATCAAGCAGCTCACTAAAACCTACTAAATATTTAAGTGGTTTCTGGCCTGAAGATGTTTCTGTGTCTGCCTTTCTTTCTGTCTCCTTCCTGCTTTTCCTTTTCTTTTCTCTGAACTCTTCTTTGTTTTTCAACTTCCATCTCCTTGCCATCCTCAGGTGTTTTGTGGAACTTGTCATCATGTGATGCCCTGAAGATGCCCATCATCCAGGACGCTTTGGCCGTTCTGACCAACGCTGTGATCATCCCACACTCGGGCTGGGACACCTCCCCGCACACGCAAGAGGACCGCAAACTGCACCTACACTCCTCCCAGGTTCTCCGCAATGCCACCGGCTGTCTGCGGTAGGTGTCTCTACCTGTTCCTTAGGAAAAAAAACAGTATTCACACATTTCAAGAATCCAACATACAACTGGAGAAGTCTCTTTTTGAAGATGTTGTGCTGTTCACAGTCCTACTGTTACCGGCCACATCTAAAAAAGTCTCTGTTAGTTAAAACAGTGTTATTTTTAAATTGTACGCTGTGTTATTTTTAACGCCCTATACACAGAGAGAACTGAGAGAATTAGCTGCATTTAAGATGAGTCATCGTTTGGCTTCAGAGCTGCTGTGGCTTTGCTTTTTCTCACTGGAGACGTGGTGCTAGTCTTACAGTTCAGTAGTGACACGTGCTTTTATCATTTTGTTTTGGGTCTTTTACTCCAGCACGTTGGATTAAAAATAAACCTTTTGCGTATGAAAAAATGTGAAAGCTGGTTCTGATAACACACAGTATGTCACTATTTGTTACCTGAACAACACCTGGCACCAGGATGCATTATGGGAAGAAGGCAAGCTGGCAGAGCAAGAGAGTGTGATGCTTTGAGTAATGTTCTTCTGGGAAACCTTGGGTCAGCAACCACCAACTAAACACAATACTTTGTAAAATATCCAAGAAAATTGTTTCTGCAGAAGATGGAAACAACAAACTGGTTTTGCCACTTGGGGCAAAAACACCGGGATGAGTACAACCAGACTACAAAGGAGGATATATTAGCAGCTGGTGATGTAATTTGCGACTCAAATCTAAACAAATGATTCCACAGAGCGTCACTGGAGCACGTTCAGTTTCTTCTTCAGGTTCCAGGCAAATGTCAGGCTACAAAGGAAGAAAGAAAGAGTACAAAAACACCAGGTTTTTCTCTTATACTCAACTTTTGTGCAAAATTGGATAATTGGATGTCTTTCTGCCTTAAGTAGTGACCTAAATGAAACCATGTGAGAGGTTCACACAAGACATATGTGAAACTGGACGAGGAGACTTGATCGGTTTTGCATTTTCAGAGGTCACAATCCAAAACAATAGTGATTCATAATCTTTGTATCAGTGAGAGGCTTTCAGCATTACAAAATCTTCATGATGAAATTTCTGTGGTTGACTCTGAGCTCATAAATCTTTCTGATGCAGACGTGTAAGCAGTCTACGAGACATTTTTTGATGTGCTATTCATTTGAATCCATCACAGCCTTCTACATCAAAATAAGAACAGAAAACATAGCTTGCAGTATTATGTCCTAAAACAGTCTGTACGTACCTTATTGGTTGAATCGACCCTGCATCTGTCCATATCCCTGCACACTGACAGCACGTTATACAACAGAACAAATAAGTTTGCTTTAATAATGCAGCAGCTCACATCATTCACTGAATTTTTTGACAGTTGGACTGGGGGCTATTTCGACACATTTCCTCTCGAGGATGTGGCACAGGGTGCAGCGGGAGCTGAGTGGGAACGCTGCCATGACTGTATTTGCATGTCTTGCTTCCTGTCGACACGCGCATGTCTGTTTGTCCCTCTGCCTAACTCGGTGTGTGGGCCATTAATCTCAGCCGCGATATATCTCCTCATCCTCCCCCAGTGAAAATAAGCTACACATACTGGCTACTTACAGAGGCTTCTGTAGCTGCTGGTGTGTGTGTGTGTGAGAGAGAGAGAGAGAGAGAGAGAAGGCACACATCTGATACAGCAGTGCGTGTGTGTTTTTTGATTCTAGTTGGCGTGAGTGTGTTGCAGGAGATAGCTTTGTGTGGATCAGCTCCCTAAACTCGAAGGGCTAATTCATCTTTCTCACGCCTTGTTAGGGAATGCTGGGAGTCTGATTAAAGATTGAATATTTCATGGCGGGTTTGGTATATCGCCGGCCACCTGCTCTCTCTCTCTCTCTCTCTCTTCCATCTCCCATTATCCGCCTCACATTCTCATTTTCTCTCTCTCCCTCTTTTAGTCACTTTCTCCTCCCTCGCTCCATTTCCATCTCGTCCTATTACTCCGTTTCTCCTCTCTCGATCATATTATCCCTCCTTTATGCCTTTCTTCTTCTGTCTCACGCCGTCTCAGCCACACTGTCTCTCACTTTCACACAGGCACATTTTCTCCCTCTGCTAACTTGCTGCTTCACGCCATATGCTGTCGAACCGGCTAACGGGAAGAGCTAAAACTTGTGCTGTCAGACTGCTGAATGTGAATTATGTGCATTGAATATGGCAGCTAATGAAGAGACAGTTAACCCATTTATTCACTGTACTTGCAGACATGCCTCTGCCACGCTTCTGGGACAAATTACGTCACTATCTGGTATCAATATGGGTGAATGAAGGCAAGAATGTGATTCTTTTAAATGCTTCTCATCAGGGGACATTTGAACCTTTCTCACTGAAACTACACACAGAAATGCAGCACCAACTCTTGCAGTCTTATATAATAAGGCAACAGGCTTTTCTTTAGCTCTCAACTGATCTACCATCAGTCCATAGAACGAATGATCTGTGTGGGTTAAAGAATACATTGAAGGCCTGTAATAATCACTGACTTGATATAGCCTTTTTGCAGAATCCTTCTTTACAATGATTTTTTGTGGACTTTCTTTTGCTTTGTTGCTTTGTTACAAAAAACATTTGCCATTAAAATCTGAAAGCAACAATCTAAATTGTCCATTATGTAGTCCCTAAATGAGCAAAATGAGAACTACTGATGGATTATAATGCAGTTTTGGACATTAAATTGCTCCATGTACTTGTAGATACATCCTGCCAGCTGTCAAAGAGAGAACTAAATGTGCACACAAACAAGGGCAAAGCTAAATAAATATATCGAATGAGACTTTGTTTTTTGATTAGAGAATTAAAGATTAGAGAAAGACAAAGAAATAGGCTCTTCAAAGAGTGACATTTTTGTCGATGGACATTTTCCCTCAGCTGTAGCGGCACGCTGTGGGTTAATCAATTGTGCTCGCTTTTAAAACCTGCTTTATAGACATGTAACCTTTGTCCTGCATTGTGATTCTCTCCTTATTTAGATTCTTCACACCGAAAGATCATAATGAGAGATAATCTGTAGCAGTGGTTTGCAAGGGAACGCTTCAGAGGGATTAATTATCTGTAATTGAGTGTGGTTAATTAAACTGAATCTATTAGCAGGTAGTAGCCAAAATGTGGGAAATGTCTGCAAGAAAGAAGTATATAAAGAGGTTTACAAATATTCTTAAGTGTTCTTTACTTTGGCGTTTATCGGCGTGTGCCCTGTGTGGCTCACAGTGCTTTTAGTCAGTGTGTCTGTGTGTTTGGGCTCAAGACAAAAAGAGAAAGATTCAGACTAGCACACAGATTGTCAACAACCTGAAATATTTAAGCAATTATTTGACAGTATAGTGAAAATATAATGCTCTCATAACTTAATAAAACTGAGAGACATTCCGCTGAGGGTCAGAATTAAACAGCCCGCTGCATTACTTAAACATGTAACTTCACCGCTACATGTTTGGAGGTTTTTTTGCATTACATTTAAGGTCAGGCCTCTCTCTCAAACTCTCACCAATACATTCAGAACTACACGACCTCAACAGACTTGGGTATTAAAACAAACATGACTGGCTATTAAAAAAAATCCAGAGTGATTCCATGAAGCTTTGAAAACTGGTAGCTTTTATAAACACAGCCTGGGAGTGAATAAAAATGGCTTTTGCCTTTTTGTTTAGGACGAGTAGCTTAGGATCAGACATCTAACCATTTACCAGTACAGGACCTCATTCAGTTTATACACTGTTTGGAGAAACTAACAGTTAGAGCTTTTGCTGTTCTACCATTTCTTCGTGATTTTTGTCAGTTGAGTTTTGTTTTTGTCGTTGTAAGTCCAGTGACACTCCATTAAGGTCTTTTTTTTTTCTTCCCGTAAACCCTCAATAAAATATTTTTTTCTTACTGAATGCACCTTTGTTTTTACTGGTTAGGCTTTTTGATGCTGGTTATGGTAGAGAAATACTTCAGCCACGCCTCCAACAGTACAAGTGTTTCTCTTTGTGTTCTTGCTGGATAATATCTAATTTCCGCACTGTATATGCTTGTTTAAATATCGAGGGTTTTATGTTCTACATTTTTCTCTCTTATTCATTTCACTGTTGAGAAGAGTTGATAAATGTGAGGCTTCTAATCCTCCCACTGCAGGCGAAACACCTTTTCCATTACATCGATTTCCAGCAACATTTATTTTTAGGAGGTGTATGTCTATATCGGCCAAAATTCTTAATGTACACATGTGTGTTAGAGTTATATTTACATCACAAAAGTAGGGCAGGAGATATTGTTGACTGACTTTCCAACAATCACAACTTACTGTGTTCAGCTGTGGTGCTACTCTGCTACATGTGCTGCATAAAACAACAGAGTTGTAAGAGTTGTAAATTGTAAGGTAAAAATCCAACAATAACACGAGAGAAAACCCCAACAATCAGACAACCCCCTATGAACAAGCACTTGATGACAGTGGGAACAAAAAACTGCCTTTTAACAGGAATAAATCGAGGCAGACCCAGGCTCAGGGAGGGAGACGGGGCAAAAGACTCAATGTAAAAGAGAGTCAGAGATTGATAATAACTAATGAATAAATGCACAGTGATGTTTAAATACACTGAGACTGACAAGAGGTCAGTGCAAAAGAAATGCTCAGTGCATCGTTGGAAAGCCCCCAGCATCAGTTTTAATTTCTCTGAATTGACTTGATAGCTACTTTTAAGCTAAATGCTATTTTTGTGGCCAGGAAAAAGTCAGTACTGGACACAAGATACACAGAGCACTTGAATTTCTAAGGAAAGGGTAGTCTATGATTGTGTGTTAAACAGTCTAAAACTTTTTAAATTGCCATACTGGTAATACCTGATTATAATCGTCTTAATTCCATATTTTTGGATGCCCATTGGCTGATAAGTTTTTTTTTTTGTCTACTTTGAAAGCATTTATTTTAAAACGGTAGAAAATTTGTGAAGCCATTAATAGTGCACTATTTTTGAGTTTTGTATCTGCACATTAACCACACATTGTAATAACCTTCACTATCATAAATAGCCAATTCAGAGGCAATGGAGTATTCGGATGTTAACAGAGTTTACATAACTTAATTAAATGCATAATTGCCATTCATATTTCTGCATTTGGTGTTTATTTGTGTGACAAAATGAATTAGAGGTGTCGTCTTGCAGCTAAACAGCACCATGCCTTTTTAAATTAATTTGTTATTCTCTGAGAAAAATCAAATGCAGAGCTTTGTCTTGGTGCCATTTCTCACTGACACTGAGGGCACAAGCATTTCCTAGCCATCTCTAATAGCCTGACATTTAAAGGACATTACATCCAGCCTCTCTCCTCTCTGTCACACAGACAAGCATTTCCATACATTTCAACAAGCACATGTGCTCGCACTCAGAAAACCTGTGAGGAAACAAAAACTAATGGGCAATTTGGTGTGTGGAATCTTCTAAAACCTGTTCTGTTTGTCTGTTTTACAGGAATGTGAGCTCTGCAGGTGAGGAAGCCCGTAGGAGGATGAGGGAGTGCGAGGGTCTGACTGACGCTCTGCTCTATGTCATCCAGACCGCTCTGGGGAGCAGCGAGATTGACAGCAAGGTAATGCACATACACACAAATGAACGCAAATATCTGCAAGGCATACAAACTCAAATAGCCTCTAGCTCATTCACACACACACACACACACACACACACACACACACACACACACACACACCTGCACACAGTAAAAGAGAATGATGTGGAAGGGCCCTGCAAATGTGTTTGTGTGTGTCCTCTTGTTTGTACACATATCATCAAGAACTCAAATGCACGTGGTGCTTTTGCTTTCCAAACATGTGTACTATTTATGATTTGCATAAATCTGCATGTGGAAAATGCAAATGTGTTTAATCTTTTCCCTCACAGACTGTATGCGATCACTGTATATGCATAATCACTCTCAATCATGTTCAAAGCTTGCAGGCCACAAATACGCTGCAAAAAATGATGCACAGGTTAAAGTTTTTTGTTGCTACATTCACAGCACACAAGCTGTATCCAAAAAGCTGTGTAAGATTTAATGATTTGCAAATCAGTTGATCCCTGTATTCATTCATTTGTTTAAATACTCCAAAAAAAACATTTACCAGTACAAAGATCTGACCTCAGTTGTTGTGAACCAGTTTCAGACCTGTTAAAATTGGTGCCTACCCTAATCCAAGATAATATTGACATAAACATAACATAAACATAACTCACTGTCCAAAGAAGTTTGAACTATTTTTAAACATTTAACTCAATATAGTTGTGAAAAAACATTTTTTAAATTTAATGCCAACAACAGGATTCAGGAAACTTTGAGCCATGACTGGAAAAGCTGAAGTTTAAAAGTTTTTAAAAAATCTTTTGTGTATTCTTTTGAGTGTCAGGTGTAGTGAGAGGAAGACTGTTATGTCAGTCTGCAGTAATTCATATCTGTCAGTGTGGCTCTGTTCTGTTTTTGGACAGCAACAGTAAAATGCAACACAGAACACAGCAAGCATTAATAACAGATATTAAGTCACATACAGCATGAAATAAGGAGCAGAGGTAGAGGTGGGTTGCACAGCGGCTTGCAGATGTTCTGTAACTGTGATCAATTGAAGATGCTTAAATAACGCACCCTACGTGAATTTTGCCGATTGGATGTATAGAAAGCTAAGTAATGAGGTAATGTCATTTGGCGTCTAGATGAGATGATCTGCCAGGATCATGGCTGAGGTCAGTTGAGCTATGACAGTGCTCAATGTGTGGACTAATTATATATATATTGGCAAGAGATGAATCACTTCATTGGATATAGAAGGAACAAAAAGAAGACGGGAAGACGTTCAGCAATAAGTGTGAATATGTGGGGAAATGATTTGACAATTTAAAACAACACTGCACTCTCTACGCACTGTTGTTGAGTTAATGTGAAGGCCATGTGAAAGTTGTAGTGACTGACTCTGAACTGAAAGTTGGCGACTATGTGCCTCAGCATCCACAAGGTTACTTCCACTTTAATATGATACCATTAACAATTGGCTGTGGAATATTTAGTAGGCAGGAAATTTCATGACGGTACGTGTTGCACTAGTGGCATCCTATCAAATTCACATTCAAATTTTATTTGTCACACGCAACCATTAGAGTTGGATGTCTCGAGACTGGTCGTGGTCTCGAGACCCGAGACCACTTTTACGTGGTCTTGGTCTTGTCTTGGTCTCGACGGACTTTGGTCTTGGTTTTGTCTTGGTCTCGGATCCCTCGTTCTTGTGAGACCGTAGAAACGGGTGAGGAGGGCTGTGCGAGTGCATCGCACTCGTAAACGAAGCAGAATCTGACTGCAGTTTAAAGACTTTTTTGTCTCGGTCTCGTCTCGACTTTGTCTTAGTCTTGACTCAGTCTGTCTTGGTCTCGATACCCTCTGGTCTTGGTATTGTCTTGGTCTTGGTCTAGGCGGTCTGACTACAAGTCTAGTAACCATATGCAGTATGACGTGGTGAAATGCTTATTGCTGTGCAATGCCTGACCATTAAATGACAGTAAGAATTCACAGTAAGATTTACAGATTTACAGATTACTACAAAATTTACAGATTTTAACTTAGAAATTTACAGTAAAATGTGCAAATAAGAATTTATGAAAGACATTATAAGAAGTGTGCAAATAAACAGAGTGCGTGCAGTCCTACACCTGGTTCAGGACCCGAATAGCCTGGGGGAAGAAGCTCCTCCCAATTCTCTGTGTTTTGGCCTTAAGGGAGTGGAAGCGCTTCCTAGACCTCAAAAGTGAGAAGAGTCCATTGTTGGGATGGGAGAGGTCCATCATGATCTTCCTGGCTTTGGTCTTGCATTGCTTGGTGCAGATGGACAGCAGGTCAGAAAGCTCTGATCAAATGATATGTTCGGCCGAGCGCACCACTCTTTGCAGATCTCATCTGTCCTGCTTGGTGCTGTTTTCCAAGCCAGGTCCAGATGTTTCCCGTCAGGACGCTCTCGATGGTGCAGGAGTAAAAGTTCTTAAGCACCTTCAGTGGCTGATGAAAGTCCCTGAGTCTTCTGAGGAAGAAGAGACGCTGCCGGGCTTTCTTAACCAGGGTGTTAATGTGACCAGGACCATGACAGGTCCTGAGTGATATGGACACTCAGGACTTTCACTTTCACATTCCAGTGTACCACACTGGAAGTCATTGAGCTCCTGAGAGCGACCCAGTCTTTCACAAATGTTTGTAGAGTCTTTGGTCTTCATGCTTCGGTGCAGATTTTATACATCTGTGGCCATGAAAGTAATTGGAACGCCTGAATTCACCAGAATTTAATTGAATTAAGTGAAAATTTAGTGTAATTTGGGGATTTCACCATCAGCAATAGGGAGCGATCTCAAGCCTTTTTGATTTAAAAATAAACTTTCATTTTGTTTCTTTGTTTTCTAGTCTTTTTTTTAAGAGTGTACCATGTATTACTCAATCCAGATGGTCAGTGACACAGAAACATCTCTAGCGAGAGTTTTTCAGCACGCTTTTATTTGAGCACATTTGCATCCATGTGTATATGTTTCTGTGCCACAGATACATGTGTGTTTGATGGTGTTTTTGTGTTTCTAGCTGTGTGGGTGTTTGTGTGTGAGTTTGTGCGTCAAGTGGAGGCCCTTCACAAGTAGATGTGAAGTTTTTAATCCGCAGAAATCCTTCACAAGATCAAAGACTGTGACTGTTGACTGCATAGACACTCACAACAATAGGATTAGCGTGCGTGTGTGTCTCTCTTTTTATTATGTGCGCTGCATGTGTGTCTATCTGAGTTTATTTGCTGTGTATACAGTCCGGTCCAGAGTTTGGTTGGGGATGTTTTAGTGGTGGCCATCTTTCTGTCCGTCACCTCTGTGTCTTTCTCTTTTGCTCTCTGTCTCTTTCATTACCTCCCTCCATCAGACTGTAGAGAACTGTGTGTGCATCCTGAGGAACTTGTCGTACCGTCTGGCTGCGGAGACCTCTCACAGCCAGCAGGGGGGGTCGGAAGAGTTGGACGGCTTGTTATGTGATACTGGAGGGAAGGACGCAGAGAGTTCGGGATGTTGGGGCAAGAAGAAGAAGAAAAAGAAGGGACATGACCAGGTGAGAACAGAAGAATGGAGAAACTGGTCAGCATTCATTGTCATATAACAATCTGATAGATTATGACTGTGGTGACAAATACATGGTGGCTGTTTTCTCTGAACAGTATTCTGATAAAGGGAAAGACCTGAGTGACCTGACAAATCTGGGGATAATGCTAACATACACAGGTATCACACTGAGCAGTGACCACGAGAGCTAAAAATGCTGAATAAATATTTGCAGTCCCTTACGTGACCATTTAAGACTGGCTCCAAAAGCTAGTCTATAACAAAAAGGCATTTTCCCAAGGTGCATCGCAACCTTATTATTAAACACTCAAGCTTTGAAGTACGTAGTGCACCCATGTGAGAATATTTCTGTGTCCTGCCTCTTACATGCTCTACTCAGCCAGCCGCACCCTTAGCTCTTTCAAACTGCAAGAAGATGACTGATGCAAATGACGCAAATTTTGTCTAGAGAAATTGGAGATTTACATGTACTTTTAGAAACTTTCATGTGTGTTAAGAAGGAAGTAGCTGCAGTAATCAAAGGTGACAGTTACCTGTTGACTTATGCTAAAAAGTTTCTGCTGCTGCTCATCTGATCTGTGAAATCAACCTGGTGAAGTCTGCACAATGGCTAATATGATTAATGCGTTATTTATTTTATGTATTATTTACATTATACTGTATTTTACAGCTATTAAAACCCTTTGAAATATTTTTTGAGGGATCCCTTTGACTGCTTCTTTTCAAAACCAGATAAATTGGCAGAAAGTTTTTGCATTCCACCATTTTTGTCTAAATGTGGTCCCTTTGACCTCCAACGAACAGCTTGATTTACTAACGCATTCCACCAGCGCAGACTGGGTTTTGTAAAAAAAAAAAAAGTACTGTTGGCATTTACAGGGAGAAGAGAGGTAAGAGGTGGGAACTTAAAGATTTTTGCACGTTTTCCCTGTTGCATATTTATTTCTGTGAGTTTCTTTCTTGGGGGGGAGAATATTTACATGATGACTTATTTACATTTGGAAAATGTACTGCTAATTACTGCTAATTGTGACAGTATTTACTACAAAAAAGTCATATTTTTTGTGCTTGATATTGAGATGAACTCCCTGCACCTGTGCTGTTTAGTAATTCTGGCCTTAGACGCTAAAATCAAGACTTCAAAATGGGACTTGAGATACCAGTGACTAGCATTTTTTTGTATCTGAAGTGGCTGATCTACAGCTTGTGTTTTCAGTTTATATATATATATATATATATATATATATATATATATATATATATATATATATATATATATATATATATATAGCACGGAGGGAGGTTAGCCAACTAACGGAGTTGCAGAAAGGTGCGACAAATAAGGTGCCTAAGAAATACAGCAAGTTGTCCATACCTGAGGCCTTGGAAACTGCCAAGCAAAGACTCACAGCCTTGGCCAGCCGCTTGAGGAGGTACACCAGAGAGATAGAAGGCAGGAGAATAAACCAGCTGTTCTCCACAGAACCAGCAAAGGTGTACTCTCAGTGGCAAGGGAACAATAAGAGAACAGCACCACCAAGGCTGGAGACGGAGCAATACTGGAAGAGCATATGGGAGAAGGATGCAACCCATAACGGCAATGCTCAGTGGCTAGAGGATCTGAGGGCAGACCACAGCGACCTCCCTGAACAGGGTCCAGTAACCATCACAGTGGCAGATATCCAAGAAAGGGTCTCCAGTATGAAGAGTTGGACAGCACCAGGGCCCGACATGGTTCACGCCTACTGGCTGAAGAAGCTGACTGCACTCCACGAGCGTCTGGCAGCACAAATGAACCAGCTGCTAGTTAACGAAAGACACCCGGAATGGCTAACTGAAGGCCGGACGGTCCTGATCCCCAAGGACCCCAAGAAGGGACCGGTCCCCTCCAACTACCGACCAATAACCTGCCTCAGTACTACATGGAAGCTCCTGTCAGGCATCATATCGGCTAAGATGAACAGGCACATGGGTTAATACATGAGCGGGACACAGAAAGGAATTGGCAAGAATACCAGAGGTGCAAAACACCAGCTACTGGTAGACAGAACAATCAGCCGAGACTGCAAGACCAGACTGACCAACCTGTGCACTGCCTGGATTGATTACAAGAAGGCCTATGACTCAATGCCCCACAGCTGGATACTGGAATGCCTAGAATTGTACAAGATCAATGGGACCCTAAGAGCCTTCATCAGGAACTCAATGGGGATGTGGCGTACAACACTAGAGGCCAACTCCAAGCCCATAGCACAAGTTACCATCAAGTGCGGGATCTACCAAGGAGATGCTCTGTCCCCACTGCTGTTCTGCATAGGCCTGAACCCCCTCAGTGAGATCATTAACAAGACTGGCTACGGATACCGACTACGGAACGGAGCAGTTGTCAGCCACCTCCTGTACATGGATGACATCAAGCTGTATGCCAAGAGTGAACGAGACATCGATTCACTGATCCACACTACCAGGCTATACAGCAATGACATTGGAATGTCATTCGGACTGGAGAAGTGTAGTCGGATGGTAACAAAGAGAGGGAAGGTAGTCAGAACTGAGGGGATTGAACTACCAGAAGGCAACATTGCAGACATAGAGGACAGTTACAAGTACCTGGGGATCCCGCAGGCAAATGGGAACCATGAAGAGGCCGCTAGAAAGGCTGCAACCACCAAGTACCTGCAGAGGGTCAGGCAAGTCCTGAGGAGTCAGCTGAATGGTAAGAACAAGATCCGGGCCATCAACACATACGCCCTGCCCGTGATCAGGTACCCTGCTGGGGTAATAAGCTGGCCAAAGGAGGAGATAGAAGCCACTGACATAAAGACAAGAAAGCTCCTGACCATGCATGGAGGGTTTCACCCCAAGTCCAGCACCCTGAGGCTGTACGCTAAGCGGAAGGAAGGGGGCCGGGGACTGGTGAGTGTCAGCACCACAGTCCAGGATGAGACAAGGAACATCCAAGAATACATTGGGAAGATGGCCCCAACTGACCGAGTGCTCAGTGAATACCTCAGGCAGCAGAAACCCAAGAAAAAGGAGGGAGACGAGGAACCATCATGGAAGGACAGGCCCCTGCACGGTATGTACCACCGGCAGATAGAGGAGGTGGCTGATATCCAGAAATCCTACCAGTGGCTGGACAAAGCTGGACTGAAAGACAGCACAGAGGCACTAATCATGGCAGCACAAGAACAAGCTCTGAGTACAAGATCCATAGAGGCTGGGGTCTATCACACCAGGCAAGACCCCAGGTGCAGGCTGTGTAAAGATGCCCCAGAGACAATCCAGCACATAACAGCAGGGTGCAAGATGCTAGCAGGCAAGGCATACATGGAACGCCATAACCAAGTGGCCGGCATAGTGTACAGGAACATCTGTGCCGAGTATAACCTAGAAGTCCCGAGGTCAAAATGGGAGATGCCCCCAAGGGTGGTGGAGAATGACCGAGCTAAGATCCTGTGGGACTTCCAGATACAGACGGACAAAATGGTGGTGGCTAACCAACCGGACATAGTGGTGGTAGACAAACAGAAGAAGACGGCCGTAGTGATCGATGTAGCGGTTCCGAATGACAGCAATATCAGGAAGAAGGAACACGAGAAGCTGGAGAAATACCAAGGGCTCAGAGAAGAGCTCGAGAGGATGTGGAGGGTGAAGGTAACGGTGGTCCCCGTGGTAATCGGAGCACTAGGTGCGGTGACTCCCAAGCTAGGCGAGTGGCTCCAGCAGATCCCGGGAAAAACATCGGAGATCTCTGTCCAGAAGAGCGCAGTCCTGGGAACAGCTAAGATACTGCGCAGGACCCTCAAGCTCCCAGGCCTCTGGTAGAGGACCCGAGCTTGAAGGATAAACCGCCCGCAGGGGCGTGCTGGGTGTTTTTTATATATATATATATATATATATATATATATATATATATATACATATATATGAACTATGGATGAAGGTGCTTTTTTTATTGAAGATAAAGTAGACTGCATAAGTATTTTCACAAACCAAGCACTGGGGACACTAGAACCGATGCCCCCGTTCAGACATCCAGAATCAAATGGTGAAGCGCATTAGTTCACATGCAAACAGGTTTCTCATTACAAACTACCCAATTTATTATATCTCAGTTAAGTGGAAGTGTTGGAACGTAACTGTAAAATCCAAGTCAAGCATGCAAATTACTGCCTCATTGCAGAGGAGAGGACTTCGAGTCCCCATCATGTGAACTCTAGGAAGCATCAACAAATGGAGCATGGCAGCCACCATGCAGAGGTGACAGATGGCTAGATAGTTACATTAGCTCAAGTTGCTGTTATCTTTAGTGTCAGACGTTTTCTGTGTTGTGCTTTTTTGTAGTGTTAATTTCACCAATAAAAAACTATGATGATTTCAAATTCATTCGCCTGCAGCATAGAGTGCAGTTTGACGTGATGATGCTAAGGGGCAACAGTTTAGGGGCAACATTTGGATTTTCTAAATAGAGGGTCTGTTTAAGCGACCGTGGCTCAGGGGGTTGGGAATCGCATCTGTAACCGGAAGGTCGCCGGTTCGATCCCTGGGCTCTCTGTCCTGGTCGTTGTGTCCCTGGGCAAGACACTTTACCCTACTTGCCTACTGGTGTTGGCCAGAGGGGCCGATGGCGCGATATGGCAGCCTCGCTTCTGTCAGTCTGCCCCAGGGCAGCTGTGGCTACAACTGTAGCCTGCCTCCACCAGTGTATGAATGTGAGAGTGAATGAATAGTGGTATTGTAAAGCGCTTTGGGTGCCTTGAAAAGCGCTATATAAATCCAATCCATTATTATTATCAGAAAACACAGAAAAAGAGAAAAATGTGACAAAAAGGACTTTAAAGTTGAACTGGTGAAACAAAAACAACAAATTATTTGTGAATGGATTAAATCTGATCTGTTGATAATTGAACTATAGAACAATCACATTTGTATCTGTGAGCTTTGTGTTGTCCTGGTGTTTTTAATTGGCACTTTGATTACTGGTTTATCTTCCAGTCTTGGTTTCCTCCTGTTACTTTATCGCTTTCTCTGCCTGTTGTTCTTCCCCCGCTCAATCCACACAGATATCACATATAGAATTTTAATGGCCTCATAAAAGCCTTCCTTTATGAGGATTTCTTTTATGGTTTGTTTAATGCTTGGGCTGTACCAGTGGGTATTCTCTGACAGGGGTCCATGCTACACTAATTAAACCTAAGTAACAATGTGTCGGCACAGATAGGAGAGTGGTTAGTGTTTAATACCATTGTGTTAAATGTAAGTCCCAAGATACAAGATGTTGCAAAACAGTATCCTGGGCCTCTCGCAGAAAAGACTACATTTTATGGGTAACATTTCCTAGTGAAATAAAGTTCATAAAAATGGTATTACTTACCACCAACGTACATTTATAACAGCTGCCCTCAGTTAAAATATTGCTGTTGATTTTCTAAGACGAACAGGTATCAGTGTGAAGTAGGGACTCATGCTAACTAGCAGCATCAGGACGTTATGTCTTTACTACCCGTTTCCAGATTTAAAGATGCTGGTGTGTCTCTGAGTTTCCAGGCTCTGTCCATCTGTTTCATCCTCTGTTTAGTTAAAAAGTGAGAGCTCTTCTAGTTGGCAGAAACCAAACGGCTGCCTTGGAGAAGGCTCTAACCTCTTGTCATGCTAATAAGCAATCAGCATCACATTCTGGTTGAGTGGAAGATGTCTTTTACCACTTCTAGTGAAGCTGCAGGGATTGAAATTCTGGCACTTCCGGTGGGTGAATTGCTCATTAGCCCTGCGTGCTCCTATTTTTTCTCTCTGTCATTTCTAGGAAAGGCAGAAAGAGAGAGAGGAGATCTTTATAAATGGTAGCAATGAGCCATGGCCTTTAACTAATTTGTTGAGCTAACCGTTTGCAAACTCGCATGCAAACCAGGCAGAACCAGGGAGATGAAGGATTTTAAAAGTAACCCTGAGATCAGATCGTAAAGAGACAAATCATAACCTCTCCAAACAATAATATATCAGGCCTCTCTCTCCCCTCCATGTGTGTTTCTCCACTCCAGTGCAGCTGTGGATGATTACCATGAAGGAGCGATTGGGGAGCTTGTTGGAGAGGGAAAAAAAACTCTATCAACTGTTGGGTAATTAGAGAAGAGAGGAATAAGGAGATGCTAAAAATGACAAAAGGAAGCGATGGAAGACGGGGAAAGAGAAATCACGGGAAGAAAAATGACCAAATTTTCAGTGCCATGTGTTAGCATTATAACACAGACTATAACAAATGCAAAGAGAATGGGAGGATTGTATTTTTTGTTATGAAAAACAAAAATATTAAGCAATTACCAACATAACTATAACTGTTGCTAAGCCCATTTGTCTGGCTCTGAGCTCTAGCTAGCTTTAGCTTAAGCCGCTTAAATTTGTTAGCTTCTTTAAAATATCCATATTTAGCTAGGTGGTGTTGATTTAAATGTCTGATTAACCTTTTTGTAGTGGCCGCTCAGCTTACTTTGACTAACATTGTGTCTTCACTTGTACTGAAGAGCTCCTGTGCTAACTATTAGTTAGCATGTGAGTGACAATGGGATGTGTATTTCTTGCATGCCTGAGATAGACTGAAACAGCTGGTATTCAGGCATTCATGAGCCCAAGCTGCAGCTGCATTTATAACACGGGATACTCGATTACTCATGGGCAGGACAGCGGTGTGGTGTTTATTCTGCAATTATGCATTATTTAATAGTTTTAAAATGAAATGCCCAGTAATTTAATAACATGCCACATGTAGTAAACTGTATATGTGATTCTATAATCCCAAATTGATTTCATAAAAGCCCGTCCCAATCTGTATTTAAAATATAGTGCTACTTATAGCTTCAAAAACTAATGGTGCTGCATATGAAAATATGGAACCAGCTACTCATTTGTTAATTATGTTGCAGCGTTACTGTGAGCTCTCCTGCATCTGAAAGATTTTTCACATTTATTATTGATATACAGTATCTGTGTATCAATAATATACAGATACTGGCACTCCACCGCTGTCAAACCTCACCTCACAGAATTCTGAATGCTTTTCTTTTCTGAATTATGTGTCATCTTCCGCAGTGGGACGGCGTCGGCCCATTTCCAGACTTGGCGGAGCCCCCGAAAGGCATCCAGATGTTATGGCACCCCACCATCGTTAAGCCCTACCTCACACTGCTGTCTGAGTGCTCCAACCCAGACACCCTGGAGGGAGCAGCTGGGGCTCTGCAGAATCTAGCTGCTGGCAGCTGGAAGGTAAGAATGCAGTGCAGTGGCTGAATCATTCAGATACTAAATGGCATCTGCAAGATGCTCTCCAAGTTCCAGTAGGTGCCAAAAACACTCTGAAAGTAATAATATAATCATATAAAAAGCTTAACCACTTCAGATATTCTTTTGATTTTGTGATGAAGAATGATGTTATCATTTAACTAGCCCTTTAAGATTTCCTCTTACCTGAGAGCAACAAGTAGTTTCAGTACATTGTGTCTGAAATCAGCATTTGGTAAAAATAAATGCAAAAGAAAGAAAATTGCCTTTTAAAGCACTAATTCAAAGTTAAGAGCATTTGTAATGTATAATTTGCTGTTAATTACACCGCTGATGAGCAGCATGATGGTGCAGCACCTGTTGCCTCACTAATCCTGGGTTTAAATATGCTGTCCCCCAAGAGTCAGACCCGTCATCTCCTTCACAGACACATCCCCAGTTTACGCTTGCGTCTGTGTCTTGATCATGTGCTTTCACATTTTGTTACTGCCCACATCACTTCTGCTAGCGTGTCAAAGGGCACAGTTATACCATCAGTTGCTTAGAGAGGACGACGAAAGAAAACAGGATGTAACCTCTTGGCATCAACAGAACGAAGTCGTTTACACCTTGCGAAAGGGAACACTGTGACTTCCACTGTTGACGTATTTACCTGTTTTCTCTTTGTGCGGTACGGATAAGGGCAAAGCAGCAACCTCAAGAAAACAGAAGCCTAAAAAAAATGCAGTTCCTGCAATGGACATCTAAGAGTTTCAAAAGCAAGTCATTGAAAGGCACAGCCTTAATTCATGGGTAATTTTTATATAACTTATCAGGTTGTTTATCAGTTTGTTTCTTAGCACTAATTAACTGTATGTGTGTCTGTGCAGAACAGGTGTACAGTTTATGTGTACAGTTTAGGTGTACAGCAAGCTAACCAAGCTTGTTAGCATTAGCGGATAGCTTGGCACTTTTATCCAAATATGGCAATTTGTGGTTCCGAAAAAATGAAAATGGATTTGGCAAAAATGATACAAATGAATGTCTTCTGACATCTCTGTCCACCTCTCCCTGTCCTGCCCAGTGGTCCGTCTATATCCGAGCTGCAGTGCGCAAAGAGAAAGGACTCCCTATCTTGGTGGAGTTACTGAGGATAGACAATGATAGGGTCGTTTGTGCTGTGGCTACAGCCCTGAGAAACATGGCTCTGGACATCAGGAACAAGGAGCTAATTGGTGAGTAGCCACACTCGCCCCCACCTGTCCATACAAACAAATCTACACAGTCTGAAAAAGATGACGGGGTAAACAAACCTTCGAGAGCAAAAACACACTGACAGTGGAGAAGAATAACATCTTTATGGTCTTTTTCTGGATATTAGGGAGTAATTAAAAATAAATTTCTCTGTAGACTAGTTATCTTCACGCACTGAGAGAATTACTCCCCTGCTTCAGTACATCCTTATGATATTGGTTTCTGCAGACATGTTTAAATGTCATGTTTAGCATCTATAAAAGTTGCAAAAATATTACATAGTGCATCATCGGTCTTTAAATTTGTTTCTACTTTGTAAGCAGAAGGTAGTGTTTCTTGGACTGATCGTTTACTGCTACGTGTTCCCTTTGAGACTAGGTGATGTCTGTAATAACTCTGCTTTTCTACTGGTCCCCATAGCAACCACCACATGTTTCCTTCCACTTATTCCCTGATGCTGAGCGTCTGATGGTCGATGTGATGTTTCTCTGTGTGAATGCAAGCGTCCGTGTGCAGGCTGTAATGTTAACTTTTCTGCCGTGCTGCCATGGGGCATGCAGGTATATTGTGATAGGACACATTGCTTTCCCCTCAGCCATGTTGTGTGATGTGCTTCTAATGCAGTTTATCATGTAAACACATGTGTAGCTGAGGCCTCAGAGCTGTCAGCAGCAGATATTAATAGCATCTGCAGTGAAAGGTTTGCTTTGAGCCAACTAACGCAGACGTTCACTTCCCAGTGTGTTTTATATCTTTGTAATTATAGCGGTATCAATCATGATAATTAAAAAAAAATCAGAGACACGCACATCAGAATGTTAAACCAATCCAGTGCCAGTACAGTTACACAGTTCATGACAGCTTATCACTTTACTGCAGCATCAGCTTATCCACGCACTTTACAGCTGAGCGCGGTGAGTACAATAACTAGCACTAACAATATTCACTCTTCTGCTTCTGCTCTTCTCACACGCAATGAGAGAATCACTTCCCACAATAAACAAGCTGAGTTAGTGAGTCACTGACACAGGCGTAGTTACGGTGTTGAATCACCGGGGACCAGTGAACTGTTGGGGGTTTAATTTTATTGTGATTTGTTTTCTGTGCCCTGGCTCACAGCTGTTCTTTTCTTTGTCTAGTTTTACTTTAAAGTTTGTAGCTGGCCTTGTTGAATTGCTGCGGTTTAATGATCTGTTTTTAGATCCATCCATCCATCCATTCGCTTCCGCTTATCCTTTTCAGGGTCGCGGGAGCCTATCCCAGCTGTCATAGGGCGAAAGGCAGGGTACACCCTGGACAGGTCGCCAGTCTGTCGCAGGGCTAACATATAGGGACAGACAACCATTCACACTCACATTCACTCGCACATTCACACCTAGTGGCAATTTGGATTATCCAATTAACCTATCCCCACAAGCTGCATGTCTTTGGACGGTGGGAGGAAGCCGGAGTACCCAGAGAGAACCCACGCAAACACGGGGAGAACATGCAAACTCCACACAGAAAGACCCCGGCCTGATGGTGGAATTGAACTCAGGACCTTCTTGCTGTGCGGCAACAGTGCTAACCACCGTGCCACCGTGCTGCCCTGTTTTTAGATGTTCAGTGATATTTCTACTCTAGTATTTTCTTCTTTCTTCTTCTCTTTTCACTGTTTGGATTATTGAAGATTGTCCCTCCAAAATGAATTAAAGGAATTAATTAAAAATAAATAAAGTATAATAAATAAATACACAGGAAATGTCTTTCGTGTTAGTCTTTTTCTACCTGGTCAAATTAGAGAGCAGAAAAGCATCTGTAGTCCGTGTTCTGGGGAGTTTCCGTCTAGCTGTGATATTTAGTTGCAATACCTGCAGTACCTCCAGGTGCAGCCTTATTTCCTAAGGTGTCGCCACAGCTGATGGAGCCATAAAATTAAAAAAAACAAAACAATTAAATATAATTAAAATGATTCTGTGACAATAGGAAACTCCTTTTTACAGTCTAGCCTTTTTCGTTTTTTCTCTGTTGATCTCAGCGTTTTTTCTTAACAATAATTTGAGCAGTGAAAATGACTGATGAATCTTTCCAGTACTGCAATTTTGTGGCAGTAGCTAAATCAGTGTGTTTATGTGGTTCTTATCTACCCTTAACTTCAGTAATTGGTTATACCAGTTTATTTGTCGATTGCTTCGATTATCTAGAGATAATTGATTTTTTGATCTGTAAAATAGGAAAAGTTAGAAAAATCTGACCTGAGCCATTGTATTGCTTTCACTTAATTATCACTTAAAACTAAATGTGTATTTTAAAATACTAGTAGTGCTTTGTGCTCACAGTTATCCATGTCTTCCAGCACATCATGCTTCAGATCATTTCTCTGCAGCAGTCATAGAAGTAGCTAGTATCACTGCAGTCACCTAGAGCAGCACTGCATCATCACTTGCTTTGCTGTATTGAAGAAATTGATCTGGATGTGGATAAAAATGTAAAGAGTTCTTCCTTTGCTCATGCTCCAAAAATTTGTCCAGTTAGGTTTTGCTTATTCTTGCTGGTCACATGGCCGTCCCTCAACGCTCCTGCTACGACGTAGAAATAGTAACGTTTTATTGTAAATTAGTAACAGTTTCTTCTTATATATTATGTACAGCAGCAGTAAAACACATGTAGTCTGCATGCAAACTGTCCGTGAGTCATGACGTGCAACTACACCCCCAGCACCACCACCATTACCACCGCCGCCACCCCAGGGTGATGACCCAATCAGAATGGAGACCAGAGAGCAGAGCGGACAAGATTTCCTGACAGCAGTGTTCAGGTGTCATGGGAAATGTAGTCAGTCTGTGTGAGATCACGTGGTCATGTTTCCATCAGTGTCTGACAGCAGGCCTGCCAGGCTGCAATTTTACCTCAGTGGTAGTCAGCTCCAGCTTTCAGAAGCTTCTTTCTTTAAAAAACGAAACAAGGGAAGAAAAATATCTTGATATTTGTGACTTTTTTATTTTCCTGTGCTTTTTTAACTGACTTACAGCTGTTTCCACAATATATGCTGTACTATAGTAGAAATTACAGTGAAAGTAATGTGAAATTACACTAGATTTAAGTCTACTGTTAGCTTATAATGCATATGATTAAAGTTCAACACATTTTGGTAATTGTTCTACTGGGTAAATTTAGTAGAATATAATAAAACTGTCTTTGCTGCAAGTTTTGGGATTCTGAAAGTTCCCACATAATGTTTGATGAATATGTTAGAAGAACAGAATACATATTAATACTACATTTATTTTTTAGATGCAAATGTCTTCTACTGTTTCCCTTTTCCACATCAAACTTGGGTAATGTGCATGCTGGACCAGGGTCTGGTTTTCTTTACCAAACCTAATATTAACTGCTTTATTAAAATCAGTCTTTAGAATGGCCTTTACATTGGTTACACCTTTGTGTCTTCATGTGAATGCACTCAAAGTAGGTATTTTGCCTAGGAGTAGGCATCGTCTTGCAGATTTTTTTTTAATATGCAGCAGGTACAGGTGATTTCAGAAACAATGAAATAAGAAAATTGTTAGACTTGTACAGTCGAGACAAAAACTTTGAGCATTCTACCTTGATAGCAAAAATAAAAGCAGCTCTGATGTAAGCAAAGCAAAGAAATCAGTTTCAACATTAGTTTAGTGCAGAGCATCAGGATTGTTGATCTTGTGGAGGAATTGGTTAAGGTGAAGGAGCTGTGCAACTTCAACAAATTGAATTGAATCCTCTTAATAAGTTATAGGCTTTCTGTCCCTCCTGTGTGAAAGTCTTTACTTTGTAAAGTCAACACAACAATATTGTAAGTTCGTTGCATTGTTAGAAGCTGGACAGAGCTGGCCCCATACCTGCTTCTGACTAAGTGCAGGATTTAAACCCAGTTTTAGCAGGAAGAGGGCTGGCTGGCAGTAACTGGCTAACTATTTGGTTACAAACTTGCATATAAAAAGTAAAGTTTTGATCAATTCAAGGCCTGGCATAAGTCAGTTTATTTTTAATTACTCCCTAAGTCAACCCATCCATAACACCTATTGTTGGGGAACTGGAGCTCATCCCAGCTAATAATGGGCTAACAGAGAAAGACAGTGTAGAATCATCAGTTAACCTAAAATGCAGGTTTTTGGACTGTCAGAAGTACCTGGAGAAAATCCACACAAGCACACAAAGAACACACAAACTCCACACAGAAGCTCCACAAAATGTTTGTTTCGCTCCCATTCCTACATTTTTTTGTATCTTCTTCATATATTATTCACCTCACCCGTACTTTCCCTGTCACTCTCACCCACCAAAGGTAAATATGCCATGAGGGACCTGGTGCACCGTTTGCCTGGAGGCAGCAACAACAACAACAGCAGTGGTGGGGGAGGAGGCGGAGGGGGTGGCACCAACAGCAACAGCGGGCTGGTGGGGAAGACCATGTCGGATGACACCATCACGGCTATCTGCTGCGCGCTGCATGAGGTCATCACCAAGAACATGGAGAACACCAAAGCCCTGAGGGACGCTGGCGGCATCGAGAAGCTCATTGGCATCGCCCGCAGCAAGGGAGACAAGTAAGCCGAATGGGAAGACGATGCCATGTTGATGAGGGGGTAAACTAAAAGGATGCGGAGGTGACGATAAAAACGGTAGAAATGATCTAACTAGTCAAGGTTGTGAGGAAGCACCAACACTTTGTATCGTCTTATAGTTTTTTATACGCTGATCACATTTTAAATCACAAGATGCGAACAGGTGGACTGATCAAAAGGATAAGAAAGGAGTAGGAATATAGATGTGTATTGGTGTGAAGGGGCTCAGAGCTGAGACAGGAGAGAAGGTTTACAGAGGCTGTGTGATTGTTTTTCTTAGTGCTGTGAGTCACCAGTCAAAGCAACAGAAAATAAGATCCAGCTAAAGTTTGGCCAGTCTGTACCCTGTGCGCTCCCTGCATAGTCTGTTTACCCACACACCTACATTGTTTTTATTGGACAGTCTATAAAGAGAGAGAACACAGAGGCGCAGAGCAAGGAGTATAATTTTAACTTGTTTAACTTGCTACAACGAAACATATTTACCGTCCACATCTTACAGTGCTTGCAGCTTGTGCTGTAGTAACTACTTTGCTCTATGTGAGGCTTTTGTTTGTTATATTACAGTACTGTGCACTAAAGCAATACAAATTATTTAATTTAAAGGTATTCATTCTATTTAAAGGATTTAAAGGTAGCATCTATAAAACTGAAGATCCAGCCATGGAAGTTTCCCATTGCTACAAATCCTCGAATTTGCCAGACTTGTCAAGATTACGTTTAGCTGCTGCCTTTTTGAGGTTTCTCACGAAATGTCGTGTACAATGCTCAAAAGCTGTCTGCTATGTTGGAAATTATAGAAACAGGAAAACCAGGGAAAAACCATTTAGCAGTGGTTGCTGGAAGCTGCTGGCTGTCGCCGAGTCGTAGCTGAATCATTCAGGATTGCTTCATCCAGACTACGATGACCTGGATGACTGAGAACCTCCATCCAGCTCTAACTATAATCTTTATCAAATAAGAAACTGTTACGCCTGATCTTAAAAGTAGAGAGGGTGTCTGTCTCTGAAATGCAAACTGGGAGCTGGTTCTACAGAAGAGGGGCCTGAAAGCTGAAGGTTCTACTCTGGTTCTACTTCCTAAAAGTAGAATTGAAGGCTTTTTAAGTAACTGTTGTTAGATATCTTAAGCTGGGTATCATCTGCATAGAAACAAATGTATGCTATGCCTGCTAATAATAATTGCCTAAGGGAATGTAAATAGAAATGGTCCCAGCACAGAACCCTGTGGAACTCACCAGATGATCAGTTAGCTGTTTTACAATGACTCATTCAAGAATTGTTGAAAAGAAGGTTGGAGATATACATGCGCATTGATAAAGATGGATGATATTTATGATTGAAACATTAATAAATGGTAGGACGTATTTGAGCAGTCTAGTAGAAATGGGGTTTAATAGTCACGTTGATGGTTATTATTGTAGTTAACCAAGAAAGATTAATTGGAGAGAAATAATTTAAGTAAAGTTGCGCTATATAATGATGCATCTGTGGGATAGTTGTGAACAATCGGCTTCTTTAATAACCAAATATTATTTTAAATGTCACTGAAATGTGTGGCATTTGCTTTGTATATGGCTTTGCATTTACACAGATTTGGTAAATGGTATTTATATAGCACTTTTAATAGTCCCTAAGGACCCCAAAGCGCTTTACATATCCAGTCATCCACCCATTCACACACACATTCACACACTGGTGATGGCAAGCTACGTTGTAGCCACAGCCACCCTGGGGCGCACTGACAGAGGCGAGGCTGCCGGACACTGGCACCACCGGGCCCTCTGACCACCACCAGTAGGCAACGGGTGAAGTGTCTTGCCCAAGGACACAACGACCGAGACTGTCCGAGCCAGGGCTCGAACCGGCAACCTTCCGATTACGAGGCGAACTCCCAACTCTTGAGCCATGATCGCCCCATTGTTTACATTATAGCTATTGTTAGATTTGTTAACATTAGCAACCTTTATTCCATGCCACTGGCCTGTGCAGACTGTGTTGCAGAATAGTATACAGCTCTTCATTTTCTCTTTCAAAATACTAAAGAAGTCTGCTGGTCTGTGTGTCTGCTTTTTGTCTTACTGTCTACAAATACTCGCTAACAAATAGTCAAGCGTTAGCAAAACTTGAAAAAGTGCAACAAGCATTTTTAAGAATTTGCTCGTTGATGTTCTTGTCTCATTTTCTAAGGCTGAAGCTGTGCGGCAACCTTCCGATTACGAGGCGAACTCCCAACTCTTGAGCCATGATCGCCCCATTGTTTGCATTATAGCTATTGTTAGATTTGTTAACATTAGCAACCTTCATTCCATGCCACTGGCCTGTGCAGACTGTGTTGCAGAATAGTATACAGCTCTTCATTTTCTCTTTCAAAATACTAAAGAAGTCTGCTGGTCTGTGTGTCTGCTTTTTGTCTTACTGTCTACAAATACTCGCTAACAAATAGTCAAGCGTTAGCAAAACTTGAAAAAGTGCAACAAGCATTTTTAAGAATTTGCTCGTTGATGTTCTTGTCTCATTTTCTAAGGCTGAAGCTGTGCGTAGTGGCTATTGGTTGCATAATATCTTAAAATCAGCAATGAATTAAATCTTATTTTTATCTGTCTTGATGCATGCTTAATCATCCAGGTAAGCAAATCCCAAAAGGTTGATTTTGTTCATCTGGACGTAGCGTTTTCAGTGGGAGAAACATTTAATCACTTATCTGCATTTTGGTACGTCTTTCGCCATCTCACAATGCTGTGATTGCAGCCATTCCCCAACTCTGTGAATGGTACAGAATTTTCATATTAATGATCAAGAGACTGACCTCCCAGCCCATTGTTCATTCAGTGGTTTTTAGTTTCAGTCATTGTGAAAATGTACTGTTTATAAGATTGGGGAAACCTGCAGTCAGCTGAGACTGAAGAAGTCACTTGAATGAGTGACGGAACGTTTCTCCCACTGAAAACGCTACGTCCAGATGAACAGAACCTTTTGGGAGTTATTTTTATCAGTTGTTGCCAGCTAAGAGAGGAAGCAGTGCTTAAACATCTAGTCAAATAGTTAGGCACATCCCTAATGCAATTAGATATATGATTTAAAAGCGGTCCCTAGGAAACCAGAAGTTCAAAGAGTGGGAGTTCTCAAAGTTAAAATTCCTAGATGACAGCTACTGACATCTGCTAAGTTGGTTTTAGCAGCAGGTCAGCTGTGTTATGATTAGATTTTGGCACTGAGGAATGACTAAAGTGCAGACAAAGATTACAGATAAAAGCGAGTGAATATGGATATAGATAATATGATGTAGCATAACTTCAGCTGTAATTTTAGCTCACTTTTGTTCTAACTGCATATCGTATACATTTCTAATTTTTGTCATGTAGAAAAAATGTTGCACCTGCTGTGTGCTTTTTCTGTTTTGTTTATGTCTATATCCTAACATGGCATTCAATTCTCCATGATAGATAACAGGCTAAAACGAATTAGTAGTGTGTTTATTATTAGACTCACATTTAGATAAAATTACAGGTACCAGTTCCGTTGTCTTGTTCCTCAAAGAACAGTTTTCCAGTGTTCCCTATTTGTGTTGCTGAAATTACACAGCCCGCAATCTGAGAATCCAAAACAACAACATTATCAAAATGTCTCGAAGAAATAAAGTTTCATTTCCTACGCACTGATAATGCCATATGAGCCAATTAAACCCACAGTCATTAGTCACTTGGGGGAAACAGAATGAAATATTGGCTAATAAATCAATCAGAAAAACAATTATGCAATTTGTCCTACGAACATTTAAGTGGCACATCAGAGAAGATGAAGAAGACGTTTTCCTCGAAGGCTGCATGAGATGCTGATTTACATGCGCGTTTAGTGTCTCCATTTCGTGTATTTTCTTTTTTATTCTGAACTGTGGTGTTTTTATAAAACGGCGTCTACCCAAACAGAGCAGAGGACGGTCGAGCTTTACGTTGTGTTTTTTTGTTTTCCTCTCTGCTGAATTCCCAGACATAGTCCCAAAGTGGTGAAAGCTGCATCTCAAGTCTTGAACAGCATGTGGCAATACAGAGACCTGCGCAGCCTCTATAAAAAGGTAAAGCCTCTGTACTCTGGGTATATAAATCCAGAATCTGTGCAATTACATGTAAAACCATTGCAAGGTAACTAAACACTGCCTCAAATCTTCTCCTCCTCATTTGCTTTCACTTTGGTCTCCCGCAGGACGGCTATTCCCAGTACCATTTTGTTGGCTCCTCCTCCACGATAGAGAGAGACAGACAGCGACCTTATTCTTCCTCTCGTACGCCCTCCATCTCTCCTGTGCGGACCTCGCCCAACAATCGATCAGGTGAGCCTACACATCCCCGTCTCCCATCTTCCCATTCATCACTCTTTCCACCAGTACAGTACAAACAAGCAGCGCTCCGATATATCTCAACTGTGCTTCAACCTTCACACTACAGTGACCACTGGTAAATTACTCCGCTGTCAAGGAAAATCCTTGCACTAAAAAAGTTTCCCGCCCTTGTGTTAAGTTAAGGTTTGACTAATAATAATGAGCATCTCCAAGGCCTCCGTGTTTCTGGGCTGATGGAGACACTTTGACAGTGATCACGTTGTGTAAGACACACAACCCTTGAAGAGCATTCATCGATACAGTTCATCCCGTGACAATGTAAAATGGGAGTGCCTCATATTTACTTATTTATCTAAGCTATCAATTGTTTATTGAGAAATTATAATGCTCTTAATAACATGCATTTGCATCTCCTCACTGTGCATGTGCTGCCTAAGCTTTCACATTAATGCGACAGCAATTACGTGGGTGGTGGAATTGCGGTTGAAAACATGTGAAGCCCGTTTGCTGCTTGCATAGATTGTCTGGGGCAGCTGTCAAAGTGTCCTTTCACAAGATACTAAATTCATTTCATCCATCGGCTTGTAAGTGTGACAGAAGAAGTGCCTAAAGTGCACAGAAGTGTGGATGTGTTTGAGAATATATTAGTGATGTGTTTAGTAGTGGAGTCAAAAACACTCTTAGCTCTTTTTTTCCTTTTTTATGGCCAATGTTGCATAATTAGTGCTGGGAGGTTTGGTTATAATATACATGCATCGCTCAGACACACACATCATACAAATAAAGTACAAAAATGTCACTTTCCACAACTGGAGCACAGTCTTCATGGACTAGCTGTTACTATAAAAGGCAGCACACCAAAAACACTTGTTGGGAGATCCTGTTTAATGGCTTTAATTAGTGCAGGTGAAGCTGAGCTGCAGCTGCCTGCATCAGACTCAACCTGCCAAAGTGGCCACATGCTTCATACACAGCTTTAAAGCTTATAGTACAATTAGTAAAAAATACCCTTCCTATAGATTAAGCGTGAAATTTGCTATGACTAAAGCAGTTTTTCATATCTGGCTGTAAACATGTTTATATCATGTATAATGTGGCAGTCTATGAGGATTAACTATCATTTGGAGCCAGCCTCAAAGAGCAATTAAAGGAACTGTAGGTCAGCAGGAATCATCACCACAGCCAATATTCACAGCTCTCAATGTCACGTCTGCAACCTCAATTCCTCCATTTCCAGTGATTATGATTTTAAAATAACACCCAATGCATTTATGTCGCGCTTTTAGCGTTAAATTGCTCATATAGTCTTTAAATGTCTGCACCAGCGATTTAATGGGAATTAATAGAAACAGTGTCACAAGATTTGACAGAAAGCCAAATGTGTGAAGCTGTTTATGGAGGAGAAAGGCGTCACAAAGTCAGTCATTAAGATCTCATTTAAATTGGTGTTCAGTTACAAAATCTGTTTAATCTCCTTTAACCAGTTGTTTCAATTATCATTCACTGTGTAGATGTGAGTTAGTCCTAGTGGACTGGACATGTTGGACTTTCAAACTTAGTACTTCCCCTCCCACCACAGATGTACCCATGGGTCATTTTCCCATTGTATTAATATTCTGGATGCCATTAACAGAGCTGGGCAGACAGTGGCTTAAAAATCTTATTATGTCAAGAAATAAATTAAAGTTTAGAGATACTGTGAGTTTTTGTTTTCAACAGGAAATATATTTTGTATTGGCTAATTCAAAACCACCTTATTACTTTTTTATGTAAAACTGTGAAAGCAGTTCACAAGAAATGCACAATTAGTATATTGCCTTCAAGTCAAATTTGGGCACAGCCTTTACTCACAGCCAGGGACAAAACATTTTAAATGAAAAATGAGATGATATTTTAGCATTTAATGAGCTTAAATGAACAATACAGGTTTCTTACAGGAGGGGAAATGAAGATAATAAAAAACCCTTTAAGAAGTTTCTTATATAATGCCCAATTTAATGGCAATCAGGTGTCGCAAGATTTCCCAGAAAGCCAAAAGTGGGAACCTGCTGATGGAGTCTGTGATCACAAAGTCAGTGAGGTTTATATGATGACCTTGACTGCCAAGTTTCATAGAAATCCACCCTGTAATATATAGAATATAGTCCTATTGTCATTCACAGAGCCAGGCAGCTACAGCTGCCAACTGTGAGCTAATGCATAATTCAAAAATAATTTCAAATGACTTCATGCAAGAGCATTTGAACATTTTTCACGTATTAGCCATCTACTTTTAAAAACAATAGCCAAGGCTGGATTTATGAGCCTTTCAGCTGACAAACCGGCAAAATAGAAATAAGTATGATAAAGACTCATTTCACATTTGTAAAATTTTGCAGGCAGTCACAGATTGTCCACTGAGCCTTTCTTTAATTTCACTCTTCATTTTCAAATGCACATAAAGGAAATAGTTCCTTTGTATTTAACACCATAGGAATAAATGCATTTCAATAAAAGTCGATGATTGGGTGTTTAGATGCTGATATTACAATGGATTTTGATAGGTTTGTAGCTTGAACCTATTCGCTGGAACGTTGAAGACAATATAATTACACAGCAAGCAAGACACGAAGTAGGCAAAGTTCTTCATGTTTCTCGTGCACGGGAGAGAACCGGACAAACGCCGTTTCTTCGCTTGACCCCAGTTGCTCTCGTCCGCTCCCCCGTAACACTGCTCTTTTATTGAGGTTACATGAATATGCATAAGTTCATTAACATACGACATATACATACACACAAAGAGTACCTTGCCTTTGTGTGTGTGTGTGTGTGTGTGTGTGTGTGTGGGGGGGGTCAGAGTGTGGCCCCATAAACGACTTCCCTTAACCTGCTGGTCTGGAAAATCCAACAGTTCATCTATATGTAAAAAAGCACTTAGACTAAAACTGACATAGCTACGTTAATCCTACCGTAAAACAATAAAACAAGGTACGACCTCTTCCCATGCTCCCAGAATGTAGCCTTTGCAGCCTGCTAAAAATCACACATCCTATCACGACACAATTGATTAAACCTCTAAGCATATATGGTTAAATATTTCTAAGCGTAAATGACATTCAACAATACAAAACCTAACAGATTTGTTGTGCCAATAGAGCAGTAATGAGCATCTAGATCAATACTAAATGGATTATAACAGGCAAAGAAACAGGCACAGTAACACAAACAGGCGTCATAACCAGCAGCTTCTATGTGATTTGTAGATCAGAGCAAACCATATGGCACCAAATCAATTGCCGACATGGCTTACCAGATCCAACTTATTGTCACCGTCACTGATCCCATCATCCCCTTCTCTTTTTTCGGACTGTGGGTGTTTATATTTCTTCTGATACTTCCAGGATGCCTGTTGGGTACAAAAAGGTTTTCAGGTCACCAACAACAAGAGAACTTAATAAGCCAATGGGAGTCTGAAATGGTGAGAATATATAGGAGGGGCTTGCAGTCAGGCAGCAAGAGGATAAGAAGAAGAAAAGAGAGGATAGACTAAAGCCGACATAGGGAGGAGGGATGACTCAGTATTTACCTCTTTGAATCACAGCCTGGTCAAAAAGCTAAAGATTTGTGGAAAATGGTCCAAACCCACAGAGCCACAGTCAAAGCTGCTCCCAGTACCCCTGTTTTTAACTCATTCCAGAGTGATGGTTAGAGCAAGTAATGCATACAGTGAAGCCACAGACTTCTTTGCTTTCATTGGCAGGTAAATGCAAGAGCTCAGAGTGTTGAACAAGTTCAAGTTGCTCTGAAAGGATTCGACTGTGTTGCAAACACTTGTCCTCCCTTTTGTAGTTTCTTCCTGATCTGTATTGATAATGTGTTGACTGATCTAATGTGTGTGTGTGTATGTAGCGAGTGCTCCTGCGTCCCCCAGGGAGATGATGGCATTGAAGGAGAGAAAGGCAGACTACGAGTCAACTGGCAATGCCAGTTACCATAGCAGCAAGGGCGAGCACACATCCCGGAAAGACGCCATGGCGGGTAGGAATTCCAAACTGCACATTTGTCACAAACACACATAAAGCTGTTTCCAGCAGAGGTGATGGTTTTAGTATAAAGGAGTGTGCGTTAAGAGATATGAAAGGAATCGTTTCATGGGAAACTATTTATTTTTATCCCGAGAGAGAGTGAAAAGGTTAAAACCACTTTCATTTTTGTAGTTTAGCTTTGCCCAAAGATAAATCCACCTGTCAGTGCTTATTACATCACACTTGTTATGTCTTTTTTGTTCAGTAGGTTGTTGTTATTGTGTTAAAGCTGACATTGTGCAAAAACATCACAGGTGACTCAAAATACATTTAATCAAGATGTAGCTAGTTAGTGTGAGAGTCTTAGAGATGCTGGTTAGTTAGTTAGCTGGTTAGCTAACAGACTGCTAGCAGCAGCTTCAAATTTCTCTATAAAAATTGTCTGGACAAACAGACACCAATAAATTAGACTAAATCTTTCCATTTTAAGCCACTCCAACCATAAACCTTCTTATATGCAGGGATGCACATAAGTGGTCCGCAGGTGTGCATTCGCTGTCAAAATAAAAGACGCACACCAGATAAGAAGTTGCAACGCGCGTTTGCGTACATAAGATTTTCTGGAGGAGGACAGACATTTGTTTAGAACTCTTAAAGATGTCAAAGAAGCTCCTTTAAGCAATTACTTTGGTGTTCCTCCACCCCCAAAGAAATGTCAGAAGGAGTCCGAACCACAAAAGAAGCGCGTATTCTCGGAAAAGTGGTTGCAGGAGGTGAGCTGGCTTCAAACAAATGATGAACGCACAGAGATGTGGTGCAGAATATGCCGTGAAAATCCCACTCTAGTGGACAAAAACACTGCCTTTTATATGTACGCAAACGCACGTTGCAACTTCTTATCTGGTGTGCGTCTTTTATTTTGACAGCGAACGCACACCTGCGGACCACTTATGTGCACCCCTGATTATATGCATAGGCTGTATATAAAAGATGGATGTAGCCACAGTGACATGACCAACTGGTCAGTGAAGTCCCTTTATGAGTCCTCAAGCTAGTATTTCTACCTGTGCTATGTTAGTGCTTTGAAATTGGATGTGTCAGGTGAAGGGTGGCTTTGACTGAGAAACCTAGAGACACTGCAGACTCACATGAGCAGCCACTTATCAATGAATCGTTTTATGACTACCCAACTAGCATCTGAGACCACTGACCTCTGCTGTCTGCTCACTTTGCACACCTGAAAGCTGTGTCTGTGTTTTCTCTCTGGTCCATTGAGCTAAGTCAATTCTGGCCTCTGGCCTCTAACACCAATCTTCTCATTGGAAGGCCTTAGGCTGTTGCACCATCATATCTTATAAGGAACTTTTCATTATCAGCAGCGTTTTTCTTCCAACATCACCATCAGCACAGAGCTTTAATCTTGTTGTCAACATCCTGGGTTTCAGCGAGGGTTTCATTGTTGTATGCGGTCTATCCTTGGAGAGAGTTCACACCAAGAGCAGTTGTTACATGGGAAACAAAAAAATCCAAGCTCTCCTTAATCACCATTCATCATCCTCTTCATTAATGTTAATGCAGCAGGTGTCCAGCTGATACCACTGACAGCCTACTCCCATTTGATTACTTTAATTATAAAAACTGAGTAAACGATTTAGAGCATGAACTCATCCTCACTGTGTCTGCAGGTCAAATCTCCGGTGGGTCTTCAACACTACACAGAGGAGCGTATGTGTCCCCAACTGATGACCTGAAGTATAATCAGGTATGAAAAGTCCCTTTCTTTAGGAAACACATTCCATAATCAGGTTTCATGTACATGCTAAAGGTGACTTGTTACCTCTAGCTGACACACCAGCATTAAAGGCTAATTTACATCATGGAGCCCTGCTCTCAAAAACTAACATAGGTTTAACACTGTGCGGCTTAACGTTTTTAGAACATGTTTAGCATAATCATCACTGGGTTGGTTGGCTGGTTGTGGCTAATAGACTTACATTAGTTTATGTTAGCAAACTAGTGACACAATTGATAACTCAGTAGAAAACAAGGGCACTGAAACTAAAAAGCAATATAAGGGGGTCACTTTGAACTGCCCCTATCTGCAAAAATGAGTTTTATGTTGAAAAAGCAAGGATATACCGTCCACTGTCACTCTGTCTCTTTAGCAGTAAGTGTTTGTTGCTGTTGTTTCTTGTTGTTTGGCCAGCTGCACTGAAACTGAAAAATAATGTAAGGCTTTTATGAATGAAGACAGTGTGGAGGACTTTTTTTCCACTGAGTTATTGTTACTATTTAGACTTACATTTGTTTATGCTATCTCTTATCACCAACCACCCTACCCAGTGAAATCACGTTCTGTACTGGCACAAGATGGCACAGCGGTAAATCTATGTCATTTTTTGGGAGCAGGGCTTCATAGTGTAAATTAGCCATTATACATGTCCACTATAAACTCAGAAGGTTCCTTCCTTCATGAAATGAATTACTAACACTACAAGAAGCAGGTGTGAATAAAAATAAGATGTAAAGAGTAAAGTGTAAAGAGAGAGGAAAAAATAAAAACACCAAAGACAGGTTAGTGATTATATTTGAACTCAATAGTTTAAGATGCCCTGATTTCACTGAGGAAACGTTTGAAAACCCACAACACTCAGCATCTGATAGACTAGAAAGCATTAATATTTCCATGCTGCGCTGCTAGCTTTATTCAATTCTTTATGACTCATCTCACCTTTAAGAGGAAGATCTGCTGTATAGTTCTAGGTGAATAGGAAATATCACAGTGAAACTGAATCGTAAAGGCTTTAATAGTGATACTATAAAGACACTATGACGTCCTAAAAGGTCACTGTAAACCTATAAAGAATGCTGTTTAAGCACTATGGCAATACACCCGTGAATTCCAGTTATTCTCACAGTCTAGTCTTTGGTTGGATGGTGTTGCCGGTAAAAGCTAATCGCTACCCATCACCCACTTTGATGAAGGAATGTCAGAACTCCGTTTTATTGAGGTTTTGCAGACATGTGACCACTAACCATGTGATGCTACCTTATTTGGACATGGCATTGACAATAATAGTGACTACGTAGAATCAAGTGAACAGGGTCCCAATCAAACGCTTAAAGACGGATGCATGACCATCTGTCAACTACCTGTTGCTATGGAAAAAAAGCTCCTCGTGGTTGGTTTGGTCACAAGCATATTGTTGCGGTGGTAGTTTGAATAGAAGTGATGGACTTGTGTATAAATACTGGCCAGCTGCTCTCTGAGCTGGAGTGAAACTGTAAAAAGTGCAACACAAATTGGAAATTTGCCTTCAAAGTTAAAGTTCCAACTTTTGAAATGTGAGCCCTAAGGCACAGCTTTTAACTTGAAGGTGAACATCTCCATTTCCTGTTTGTGTCACACCTTTTCAGATTTTACTGCTACTCATCTAGTAGTTTGTAGTAGACATCTGCTAGCAACCAAAGCAATTGCTTGGAAGCTTTGTATTGTATCACATCCAATATGGTGGACGACTCTATAGCAATGTGCAGTGTCACATGAGAAACCTCATGGTTCCCAGTACTCCCCTCACTCTCACTTGTGGTGACTTGGACCAATCATGAGTGGTCATTTGTAATGATTGTGCTCTCCTTCTTTCTAGGTATCTTCTCAAGGCTTGCCATCAGAACCCTACCCCCCTTTCCAAAATCCTCCTCCACCTGACAGCAGCAACTACGAGGATCAGGCCTGCTACGAGAACCAGGTTCATGCTGGAGGGCGTCCCCCGCAGGGTGACCTTAACATGCACCTGCAGGGCCTCAAGTCCACCGGCAACTATGTAGACTTCTACTCAGCCTCGCGGCCCTACAGCGAGCTCAACTACGAGACCAGCCACTACCCAGCCTCACCAGATTCCTGGGTGTAAGGGGAGATGAGGGAGGAGGAGGAGAGTACGGATAAAAGAAAACCCGGAAGTGAAGGGGGGGTGGCTTAAAGGTGGAGTGAAAGAAGATGAAAGGACAGGTTCCCTTCCTCCCTCCCCATCCTCCCCTGTAGTTCCTGAGTAGCATCATAGATAGCAGGATGATGAAGGGGGAGGATGGAGCGCATGAAAGGAGACGCGGGCAGAAAGCTTGATAGACATTTCACTCCTTTCAGGGACATCTCTGAGAGGAAGGAGAGGACCAGAAGCAAATGGAGGAGTGGCCAAGCATGTGCATGCACACCACCAACCAAACTGACCGACACATTTTCTTTCTGTGTTTCGTTTGTGATCAACAAGTGGTAGAGAAGGTTCACCAGACAGAAAGAGCGCCCGCTTCTTGTAGGCCTCTGGATACAGAATGTCAATCAGAGACTAACCCGGAGAGAGAGAAGAGAGTCGGGACATGAAAGGGAAGCGCGAGAGCAAAAGTTGGCAAACGGTTTTGCGATGAAGAAGGACGATGAAAGATAAACGTGGATTGGTGGACTTGAGGATGAGATGTTTTGCAGCGAGTCAGAGATACCCCAAGAGGAATCTGTAAATATGTGGTATAGCATCCATGGGTTTTAGTAAAGTGAAGCACAAGAACTGTAGGACACATAGGACGTCTGTCACACAAAACTTTTCTTTCTGTCTGTGGCTTCAGCGTGACGTATTCTCTGGGCAAGAAAGACTTTTGGTCATTTGTAACACTTTTTTTTGTGTTTCTACTTTTTTAATTCTGATTGTATAGTATTTGATGTACACTGTACATTTACGGAGATGCATTGCGTACTGTACATTGCACTATTTTCTGTGTCATGTCAGGCCTTTTGCCACTGGTTCCGACTCACCTCCTCACCAAGTACGCCCCCTTACCCAAACACACACAGACTTTCAGAACTCATATCATGGATGTTGCTAATGTGAAACACTGGATATGAATTGCAAGGTCACGGTGCTCCTTTCCACTGCCCTACAGTTAGTACAGCTGCCAGAACTGCTAAAGAAAGGTTGTTTTTTGGGCTTTTTTAGGCTAGCGTTGCATCTTCTCCACACCATTCCCCTGCTTTTACCCCCCTCCTTTGAGTGACCTGTGTTCATCATGTATATAACCGTGCCAAACGAGGGATACTTCCCCTCAGCTGAAAGGGGAGTGTTGACGGTGCATTCAAGGGTCCAAGTTAAGCTGAAGGTTTTCAGCTGAACATCCTCGCCGTTCTAACGATGCCACTTTGTAAATGCTTTGGTTTTTCTAAACTGTGTTTTACTGGGATGAAAACCGTCGAACTGCACCGAAACTCCCGAGTAAAATCGTAACAAGAAAAAAAAAAGAAGAAGAAGAAGAGAAAAAGGAAAATCGCGGAGGGACTGTGGAGCCTCACTTCCTCCAGAGCTGTACAAAATTAGTTGATTTCTGTGTTGTAAATTAATTCATGTTTGAAGTACAAAAAAAGAAAAAACTTTTCTGAGAGATGGTTGGCAATTCTAACTTCATGGTAGACAACAACTGTTAATAGAGTACGGATATATATTATATAAATATAAATATATACTTTTTATGTGCAGATGTGGATGTCACTTATAGCAGCAACATTATGGAAAAAAAGACTTGTTTAAAAAAATTTTAAAAAAACAGCTACATGTAGGAATTTTGTTCACAGTTAATTTTCTGGTCAGCACACTAAAATTGTCGACTTTGTGTAGTAATGTTGTTGCTATGTGGAGTAGAGTAGACCAGGGCCCAGGGATCCACGTCGTCACTGAGGCAGTCTAGCAAAGGTGCTACATCCGTGAGAAGTATTTCCGACACGTCTGTATTCTGTCTGTGCACAAGATGTTTTCAGACTCCACCCATCGTGCTGCACTGATGCACTGGAGTGTGTCACCAGTGCACCTCTGCTTTTTAGATGATTTGGTCTCAGATACCAAAACATGCACCCGTCAATGCATGCCCATTTTGTTGTCAAACTGAAATATCTTTTTTCTTTTCTTTCTTCTGTTTTTTTCTGTAAGTGAAGAAGGCTAAATTGTAAAAGGTGACACCAGACCCTGGTTCTCCCTACTCACTGCTGTTTAGAAGTCCTAGAGGTCATCTTCCAATGCTTGATAAAGCCACTCATAATGCAGCAGCCCCACCACCACAAACACACACTGGATGGAAAGCAGACGTGCTGTATTTTTGTTAGTAAGCATCTGGAAACTGAGAACGTTATGTATGTCCTTGTGATCCTTAGGCAGAGAAAACTTACTATGAGACCTGTATGGAGATATAACGTCGGTGACCTTTTTTTTGCTAGACCAAATGTGTTTTAAAAAGAGAAATTGTGAATCTTTCTATTGCCTCAAACAGACTGCAACTGCTCCAAAAAATATAAACGAACCATCAAAGAACCTCTGATTCTGAGAGTTTGTTTGTTCTGGTGTCAAAAACAAAGCTGTTTACGACTGAAGCAGTACTCCTGGTGCAAAATTGAGGACTCTTTTCTCCAATTCTATTCAGTTTTATTCATATTGCAGGTAAAGACTGCGATATAAAGAGAAAAAGCCAGCTATTAGATGACCCCCCCTGTGAACAAGCACTCGTGGGAAGGAAAAAAACCCTTTTAACAGGAAGAAGCCTCCAGCAGAACCAGGCTCAGGGAGGGGCGGCCATCTGCCACGACTGGGTGAGATAAAGGCTTGTAATTGAATGAGCTGCACAGATTAACCTGCAGAAAAACAAGAACAGGAAGTGACACAATACCACAGTGATCCAATAGCACGCTATGCTATTCTCCCATGTTTGTCTTACTCATTATATTATTGTGATGGACCGAGTTGAAAAACAGGAGGAGCCCAGGAATTATTAGAAAAATATAGTTTCCATTTATTTAACCCCCAAAAATTATATTTACAAGACTAATAAATGTTGAGCTCATAAAAGAGGTCAAAGAAACAAAACTGAACTCAGGCAACGACTGCAACCTTAACAAACCAAATGACTGCCCAAACATACATAATTGACCTAAACATGAAATGACATACAAGGGTATATATAATGGCTGATCAGACCATTGTGACACATGAGGGGTAACAAACAAAACACAATCATAAATCACAAACGATGCAGTACAATCTGGTTTGTTAATAAACTAAACACTAAAGAAGAAAATCAAAAACCCCATTAAACCCTAAACTCAAATATTTAATTAAATACAAATACTTTGTTTTTAAAGTAAAGAAAACACACATTCCCCCCTTCAGCAGGAAGTGGTGGTGTGGTCCAATTATCTTCCTTTGTATTTAATGGTTTCAAACCCTGGCTACCATCTTTTGTCCAGCAACTCCCAGGGATGATGGCAGGTAAGAAATAAAAAGACAAAAGTTAGTCAGAAAGCAAAGAAATTAAGTAGTATGAATACATAAGTAAACTAAATGTGCGCGCTTACAAATAGAACAAATGTATCCAAAGTATAAAATGTATTACTATGTTCAAAATGAAGAATGAAAATACAAAAGTTACCGACTTTAGAGTGTGGCCACGGGTTTGGCCATCACAATTATCCTAACTTTTTACCACATACTCTCCAACCTGTTGAAATATAGGCTTGATTGCATGAGGCACTCTGACAGAGCTGGCAATGTACCATCAGCAGCTGTGGCACCACATCAGTGGAAAAAAGGTATTCTGTGTTTTTTCCAGTGTGCTGTGTCTGCGGAACAGCTTAGGTTTTATTGTTTGGCATCCCACTTTCCAGGGAGTTTTACCCACCCTTCTTTTAGTACAGGACGGAAATCTGTTTGCTAGAGTCAGACATTATTCACATCACAGGAAACACATTTCTATAGTTGCTAAGTCAACCAGATGTCCTACTTTGCAGGACTGTACGGCATTTTTATCCTTTGTCTCCTATTCCTTATACTGGGAGTTCTCCAACACATCTGTTCCTGTGTGGGTCCAGCCTCCTCCCAAGGACGTGCGTGTTCAATTAACTGGTGATTCTAAATTGGCCATACTTATTGATTTGAGAGTGTGTTTGTCTGCCTCGAGCTGTGGTTTGACTGGTGACCTGACCAGTGTGTACCCCACCTGTCACCCTGTGTCAGCTGGGATAGGCCCCAGCTCACTGTGAATAAGCAGTTAGGAAAGCAGATGTGTGATTGGCTCAAATTTAAAAAAGAGAGAGAACACAAGAAATGTGTGAGTCAAAGTGAAATGTGTCACTCTGTGGATACATTCCCCCTTAAATAATGCCACAAAGAGCAGGAGCTTTAACATTTAACAAGGATTACACAAGTATACAAAAGTTATTGCACAACACCATAAATGCTTATGTGCATTCACATATGATATTTGTGTCCTTCATAGTTTGTTTTTGTTCTCCACTTATGAAAAGATCCTAACTTAGACTCTTGTCCCATGCTCAAACTCTTTCAACCACATTAAGCTCCAAGGAAGGACTATTTTTACATATTTCCTGGTCCTGGGACAGTGCACACTCATGGTTAGTTGCCAGAAAGCATTCTTATGTGAAACTAACAATAGAATACAAGTCATTCAGTGGTCCCTCAGCCCACTGCAGACGGAAGCAAGAAAAGGAATCCAACCATGCTTTGACACTGACATACAGAGTGCTGCAGGAATGAGTCCTAAAACCCTGAAATAAGTCATTAATGTCCATTTCACTTCCAGGGGTTTGGCTTAGATGCCTAAAATATGGTCTGTGGTTACTTTTATCCTGCATCATTAAATATACAAGTATCACGCTCATGTGTTTTCACATAATCTGGACATGTTATTGCTAACAAGTCGCTAAATGAGACAACAGAAGTTGTTGGAGACATTTGTGGTTGTCGTCCTAAAATTATTGGGATTTTCAAATCCAATTAGCATTTTTTAATTTTTTTTGGAGGATGCATTTGAGTTTTATTTTAAACAAAGCTTTTATCTCAGTGTTCCACCATCCTAGACAAAATCCCTGAAACCAGAGAGATGCTACCTTCATGTAAAGTCCTGCAGATGCAGGTTTGGTCTGAATCCAGCAGAGCACCTTTGGGGTGACACTGAACAGGAAATTGGCAGCATGACTGTCTGACTGACAAATCTACTGAAGTGATGTGATGTGGCAGTCAGCATGGAGCCAGATCTCACTCACAGGAAGGTTTTCAGCATTTTGTGGAAGCTGGGAACAAAAACTGCCCTGTGAGTAAAGGGGGCGGGGTCTAACTAGCAGTAGTTTGATGCCTCTAATAAACTAGATGAGTGCACATGTTGTATTAAAGATACCGCAAATAGAAACTGGGAGAATTAACCAGTGTGGTATAGCACATTGTAGAGACTATTAACATAAATGCTGCTCATCATTTAGGCACGGGACAAAAGGTGGCGGTAGCCTTTGCTATTTACCTTTAATTCTTCCATTTTTACTTAGATAAGATCAACACATGTTGATGTGACATAATCAATGGAGTTTTCCAGTGGTCTGTGTGTGTGTGCGTGTTTCTGTGTGTGTCTGTGGGTCTGTGTGCAGGTCCATCCATGCAATGACTTTATTTTGGCCTGTAAAGGGTCATGAGTGCTCTCTGGTGGTCATTAGAGAAACTGCACCACAGGTCAGGGTGGCGGCCATTTTAGTCTCCGAGGCCTGTTCTGCATGACTTTCTGCAGATGGATCGCCACACCACAGACAGGCACAGCATCTCTGAGAGCTGTGTGTGGGGGGGAGAGTGTGACTACACTGTCGGAGTACAGAGCAAAGTGAGAGAGAAGCTCAAGAAATAAATAGTGGACGTCCTGTAAGTTTTTCACCGAGTCTGGATGCTGATGTAAGAGCTTCTGTATCACGCAAACAGTTTCTTTCTGTGGTCGGAGTATATGATCAAGTGTGGGAATCCGACCAAGTCTAATAATTTCATGCTAGTAGCAACAAATAAAAGAAATAATAATAATATTGCAAAAGTGCTGCTGTGATATCAAAGACTTTTTAAAAAAAAATGAAATAAGTAGCATCAAAGACTGTATATAAAAGATGCATCTAACCCTGTGATGTCACATATTTAATGCTGTAAAGCTAGCTATTTTACCACAGAAGGCTATGGAGATGCCCTCACCTTTGAAGCCAGGGTTTAAAGAGCTTTTCAGTTTCCAGCCACACGGGTCGTTTGCTAGGTAGCTACTTAGCTTCACACACAAAGTCAGCATTTCAGTTGATTTGTGTGTGTTCAATAACAAACAACTGAGAGAAGGATACAGTTAGAGCCTTCGCTGTCCTAAAACTGGCATTACAATTCACAAACAAGGCTTTGAATATGGCTTAAATGTTCTGGTTGAACATGGTGTGTTAGATAAACAAAAGGAAAACTTGTTACACACGCGCAATAGCAAACCAAGGTGGAAAAAGTGTTATCATTCAAGGAAAAGTTGCGGAATCTCCATCAGACCTGTTAGATTTGCTTTTACTTGTCCTCTGAATCTACACTTTGTCCAAGAGGCTTATGTTGCCGCTTCTAAATAACTCTCAAGTGTTGTTTCAGGTCCCTGTCAAAATGATGTATCCTCAAACCAAAATCATTGGTTTTCGTTATGACTTCCAACTTTTGGCAGAGACTAAAAAGGTCCATGTTCAGTATTGTGGCTCAGTCCTTCCTTCAACATGCCAAGCACATTTTTTTTAAGTGCTCTGCTCATTCATCCCTTTGGTGTTTCATGTTTTACTGGCTCCAATTTACATCCTTACTCAAATAACCTGGATTAAATATTAAAGGTATATTTAGCAGAGTTTGTCCTGCCCGCAGCAGTACAATGACAATAATAAATCTGCTCTGCATGGCTCACTGCCAGACTTAAACATATAGTTTATTTATTTAATATTTTGGCTGCAAGGACCTGTGCATTTTCAAGATCAACCACTGAAAGGCATAAATCAAAGTCCACTTTACAAGATGTCTTGGTCAGTGTGATTCGACCTTCTCTGTACAGAACGTAGGTTCACAGTGTCCTCAGATTCTCTTGCCAAGAGTAGAAAATATCTGAGTCCTCACCTTAAAGACTTGGTGGCTGCTTTCTTCAAACACAGAAAACGGAACACAGGGTTTCCTTTTTAAAATATAAAATGTTTTCACATTTACATGTTTTAGCAAAAACTCTTAAAAACCAACACATCGTCCAACGATCTAAAGAAACAAAGTCATTCCCATCTATCAGTCTGGAAACGTTACAAAGCATTTCTAAGGCTTTGGGACTCCAGTGAACCACGGCGAGAACCATCCATGAATGGAGGAACCTTGTGCCGTTATATCTGGCATAAAACTAACACAGCATTTCATAACAAGAACAGAGTCAAACACGGCGGTGCTAGTGTGATGGTCTGGACGTTCTTTGCCGATTCAGGACCTGGACAACTTGCTCTTAC